GAGAAGGTGCAAGTCTCCCCTCTTCCAATACTGCGCAAGTGCAGAAATGGGAAAGAGACGACGAGTGCGAAGAAGAAGAAAGCGGCACCAACGTGGTGGCGGCGGTGGTGTCCATACGTGGGTACCGGTTTGAGCATCGCGAGATCTCAAATTTCGTGCAAGTCTCAAAAGTCTCGCTCGACCTGTGTGCGTACTGATGTTTGGCGAACGAGGTGGCGCTGGCTACGAGACGCTTCGTTGCGTCAAACTTGCGCCCTTTCCCTTTGCCACCTCCACTCGAGAGCACGTTGCGACGCCGAGCTAGTGCAGTCCTGGTATGTGGCTCGCAATCTTGTGAGCCAAGCCACCATGGTTGCCCCCACTGTTGCCATTGGCCGTGCTGTTGCTGCTTGCAGACTCGTCGACAGAGGCCAAATCACCTTCCTTGGCGCCCGTGCTTCGAGTCGTGCTGGAGCTGCGAGGCTCGCGAGAACGCGAACGAGAGAGAGAACGAATGGCCTGCAGCGCAGCGGCGGTTCGAGGGGCAAATGTGTTGGATGCGAGCAGCTCGTCAGCCAACGACTTCTTAGCCGAGCTTGTGCTCGCAAACATCCCACCACCCTTGGCATAGACACACTGCGCATTCTAAACTTCTTTTCCAGACCTGAAAAGGCACCGTTGCACTCACAGCACCAACGCCAGCATCGGATCTTCCTCGCGTCCCATCTTCCTGACTTTGATCCCTCTTCACATTTCCAGCCCCACCTCTTCCAGTCGAGTGGAAATTGTGCTGATCCTTCTTGATCGCTTCCTGCTGCAAATGTTGCTCCTTTGCATGCTCTTGCTGATGACGAAGGCTCTCGGTAGGATCGCGAGATGGCGATCGTACATTGCCCGCTCCTCCCCGACCACCGTGGATGACGGTCTGCTTGTCCGCATAGGCTGCTTGAGCTTTCGCTTCGCCCGCCTCTCGAGTACGACTAGCCTCGCGCGCATCGCGAGATGGAGAGCGACCGATCTGCGAGGGAGGGAGAGGGATAGATGGTGTCGAGGCGAATGATGAGCAGAGAGAGAGAATGCGTCAGCATGTATGCGTGCGGTCGATCGCATGCCGGTACGATGGTAGCGCATGGTCAAGGCAGCATAGCTGCATCCTTTACCACGCATTGCCACTTCAAACACCATCTCATCCATCATCTATCGGCATCCCAGGTCCAATGCAGCTTGCAATACCCTCTGACCTACTCACATTACCCGCGCCCCCTCTGCCAGTAGCGATGCGAGGCTCTCGTCCGCGTTCCTGTTCCGAAGGCCCAAAAGTCATCGTGGATAGTGGGCTGTGATAGGCAAAGTGTGGGATTGGAAGTTCGCACGGGTTTGGAGAAGGAGTGAAGCTAGGATGACGAGCAGGGGTGATGATGGATGGTGGCTGTGAAGAGCAAGAGTGGGATGTGACTTGTCTTGGAGAGCGATTCGATTGATCGATTATGGGAACCTGTATCTGCCATTTAGGTGGAGAAGTGTGCGCGTGCGCGTGCGCGTGCGCGTGCGTGCGATCATTCGAAATCGTTATCAGCGCGCTTGCTTGCTTGCTTGCTTGCTTGCGTGCGTGCGTGCGTGACGTGATCGAAATTTCCTTTTGGGAAGATGAAACTGCATGACGAACTTGGCATGTGCGACATGCGTGTCACCGCAGCACAAGGCCACTGCCCGTGAGTGTGGGGACGCTCCTGCCGAGCTCCTGCTGCTGTTGTTGCTGCTGGTGCTGACCCATGCAGCCGCTGCAAGCTCGTCGGGGTCGGTGCTGCGCGCGCGCGCGGTTCGGCCCTGTACCTGATGCTGATGTCACAGCAGTCCGCGTGCCATTGCCCATTGCATGCATGCATGCACGCATGCATGCATGGCAAGCTGGGCGAGTTTGCTGCAACACATTTAGGCATCACGCAAGTCTAAGCAATCTCGTCCTCAGGCATGCATGCATGCAAAACCCGCCGAGCCCACGACCATGCACTCACGACTCACGACTCACGACTCACGACTCACGACTCAC